GCTAGAGTTATGTGCTATTTTAGAATGCTCCCCGATGGCCAAATGTTTCTCGCAGAGCCACTTCCCTGCGGATTAATAGTGTTTCATGTGTAGAGCAAACTTTTATAATACGAGAGAGCAGCCACAAAAAATATAGGGTCAATGATAGATAGAAGAGAAAAGTGGTCTCTGAGTTTAGTTCTTCTCTTCATTGGGAGCCCCAAGGAGAGGCCTATGGATTACCCTCTAGAACATATACTTAGTTTCGGAATAATACAGAAGCTGCACAAAGAATGTCCGTCTATCAAGAGAAAGTTAACATGCAGGTCTAATCGAAGGTAGGAAGACAAAGATGGTGTGGCTCTTTGTGTGGTCGCAGTCTCCTTTCGTTGTATATAGCCTATTTGACATTGTTTTCGCAGAGACAAGTCTCTTTGACGAACTGCTTGGCCATTTGCCTACGAGATAGTAGATTAGGGTTGAATTAATAAGTGAATGTTTATTCTAGGTAAAGTTAGTTAATTATTTATCGTCCTACAGGTATGGATGATAGCTCGATGTTAGTAGTGAATAATCCCTTGACTTAAGTTGTTCTTGTCTTTTACTCACTTTCTATATGTTTATTCATTCTTTTAGGCAACCTCGTTGGAACGCAGTCGAGACAGTTAGGGATGGTTCCCGCCACTAGCTGTCTCGTGGGCGCTGGAGGATCTGGAATGGTACCTCCTGTCGCACTCCAACCGGCATGCTCCTCTGCTCGTCTCCCCATCGAGACTGGATATGGATCTGGTGTCGGTGGTTGCCAGAGTGGAAGTGGAGCTGGTTCCAGTGGTGTTAATACTGGTGTTGGCACTCTCAGCGGGACTGGTGGGAGCAGCGGAGGACAGCCTTCACAGAGTACTGCCAGTGTGCCGAACCCGCTGGCGGCCATGTTTGCTGTCGCGGCGGCAGTTCAACAGCAGCAGCACTCCCAACAGCAGCAGCAAACACACATGAGACTACCTCAGCCATTAGCATCTGGAGCTCCCGGTGGTGGCTTGAATCCGGCTGAAATGGCAGCCCTTTTATTGGGTGGCCAAAGTATTCGAATGCAGGTGAGAGCATGAGGTGTAATAAAATAAGCTCTTGTTATTTTTAGATATATCTTTGATAGTGGTTCTTAACGTGTAAGATAAAGCTAATGCAATATAGCCCATAGGCTATGCACCATGGGTTTATATTTTATATGCTATATTAGTTTAATTTAGTCCATTATATCACATTTTCTTCCGGTTTATCTTTTGTAAGTGGAATTTAGGAGTACATCACTATGTATGCATTGTATCCAAAATTTGAATATGCTATAGAGGCTCTATACCTGTTTTACACTTTATTGGATTTAAAGCTTAACATGAAGCTAGGGAAAAATTCTGACCCAAAGTCTTGGACCATTCTCATTTTTCTTATATCACACTTAGGCCGAATTCAGTGGTGCTGCAAAGTTTTAAGCTATACATTAC